TCATATGTTGCTGCTACCTTTGCTATCGCTGTTGCTGTTGCTTCACCTGCTGCTGCCAACCAACATTGCTGCTTACGTGTTGCAATTCTTTTCTATTAAATTCAAAAAAAAAATTGTATTTAAAGTACATAAAGTGTAAAAAAAGAGGCAAACCTAACGAGTACTTGTATGTCGAAATCTAAAACTAAAATCTGTGTCGGACTCGAGAGTGGTACGTGGCACTTTTTAAGGATTGCCACGTTGATGTTTCAATTAATTTCATTTGTAAGCCTTAACAAGCACAGAAATCTGATGAAAATAATAGCAACAAAACAGAAATAGTTAAGTTTAGTTCTTTTTTTTATTTTTTGCTTAAAATAAGCACAGCAAATTTGATTAGAAGGAAATGATAAACATTTCAAAACAAAATAGAACAACACAAAACACAACAAACCAGAATGAAATGAAAACACATTTCATATTAATAATAATAATAAATAGATAGATACGTATCTGTATCTTTATCTATATGCCAGCGCACGTACGTACGCAAATGCGGCATAGAATTTAATTTATAGATACATTCTTAGGTTCTTGATGTTCACATAAATGCTCGCTGTGCTTATGGCACAGACGAATGTTCGTACAACTGCGACCGCTAGTGCAACTATTTCTATGCCGCCAATGGAAGAGAGAGATAGCGAGAAAGAGATAGAGAGGGAGAGAGAAAGAAACAGAGAAAGGCTGAGAGCAAACAATTCGTAGACCATTCATGTTATGAGGCCTTGAACTTGATTGTAGAACTTGTTACCGCAGATATCTTATCTAAACCTACTATTGTATTTAAATTGAAACGAACGAAAAAAGTTAAATACTACACTGGGAAAAATTTTTAATTTTTCCGTTTTTATAAATGATTTCTTTTTTTTTTTGTTTATAAAAACAAACCACAGATAAAGAGTCGAAATAATAAATAAAGCTTGAACAGTAGAAACCAGAAAGTATCCAAATGAGAAATTAGGAAAAACTTTAGAAAAAGTCAGCCCGTGAAAGATACTTTTCAAGTAAAAACTAATAAAAATGTAACTCGGATGTGTTACAGACCTGAAACCCATATGTCAAACTTTGAAACTAAAACAACATATATCATTTAATCGCTAACAGTCGATTTTGATCAGCTTAATCTCTCACCGATTGATCCTGGTGGTTTGCTATCATCGATACCTTAATAGCTTTTAATGCCATTCTATAAGTTTGCGCGTCTTCAACGTCAAAATAGCAGAAAGCAATTTCGCTAATCAATCGTGGTACTTACATTTTGCCAAGACAACTTTTTGTTTATTTGCTTGAAGTGCATTTTACCTTTTTCGATAGACAAAAAGTCAAATATGCCGAAGATACTTCTATCGACTTTTGAAATATTTTCAAATATTGTAGCACGCAAGCTCTTAACCAGCCACATATATTAGCTGTCAAAATATATATAATGACAATGCAGCTGAAATGTGAAGTTGGGTATTAGAAAACGAAATTACTTCACATAGATACATTCAAGTCAAGATACATGTGTTACGTTCGACATACATACACTACACGTATTGCACGAGTGAATTGAATAGGATGAAGCAAATATTATTTCACTGCACTCGTTTGGAGGTGGAAGAACAGATGTTTGCACGTCTTTTCAAGGTGTTGATAAGTACTACAATCATCATATAATCATATATGTGCGACACCTTAGAGAAATGGAGCAAAAGTAATAAGTTTGTTTCAACAGATATAATAGAACTAAAAGAAATAGTACGTTCGGTTGAATAATAGAATCGAATAAAAAACAACAAATAATCACAAAATAAACTGACAGATTGAGTTACAGTGCTCACGACAGGTCCTCTAATTACGACGAAGATGACATGGATCACAGTTGTTGTTATTGATAAAATCAATGTAAAAAGTTTACAAGTTTAAAGTCGAATATTTCGAGAACCAAGTAAAATGAATATGAGAAAAGGATAGTTTAATATTGGTACAATTATATCTTGGGAATCAAATTTGAATATTTAACAAAATTGTTCACTATAAAATATATTGAAACTATTTCTATATCTTAATCAATATCTACAGCAAGCTATATATTTTATTATTTGATATTGGTTCCCATTTCTTAACTGTATTAAGAAATAAGTATATTATATGTTACTGAAATAGATGAGAATAGGGCTCTTAGCTTTATATTAATTTATTGCTTGAATAGAAGAGAGTAGTGTTCTGGGTTTTATACTAATTTAAAAAAAAGAGAAAGAGAAGAGAACTGAGCTCTGGACATTGTATTAATGGTATTAATTTGTTACTAGAATAGGTGAGAACAGGATTTTGAGCCACATATTAATTATATTAATTTATTACTAGAATACAATAATCCAGGGTTCTGAACTTCATATTAACTATATTAACTTAATACTGAAGCAGAATAATCCTGGGTTCTGAACTTCATATTAACTATATTAACTTAAAACTAAAACTTAATAAACCAGGATTCTGAATTTTATATTAACTATATTTATCTAATATTAAATGAGAACAGAATTTTGAGGTTTATTTTAATTTTATTTAATTATTACTAGAACAGAAAAATCCAGGGTTCTCAACTGTATTTATTTATTACTGCGAGATTTATTACGATTTATTGCTCGTAGAATAGATGAGAACTGGGTTCTGAACTTTATATTAGTTTTATAAGTTTATTAATGGAATAAAAAGGAACAGGATCCAAACTGTCTGTGACGCGGAGCTCTGTAATTAAAGTAGAAGTTTTATGGATTGCAGCCTCAATGACTTCTTCACAATTATATATCTATATTTTTAGTAAAAGTCAAACAATCGTTATACTAATACGATTGTTTTCACAGCAACTCAGTTTGTCATATATCTTTGAACAAAATTCCAGTATTTCATAAATTAACTTGAATTAGCTACTAAGTCGTAGGAAAATTTCTGTCAACTGCTTGTACGACAGACTGAGGATATAAAACATTTCGCTATGCTTTGATTTTAACAGATCTTGGGTTCTTCAGATACTTAGTTAAGTCAGCTATACCTAAAGCATAGCACATAATAGTGCCCTAAAAATAACTCGAAGACCATACACAGTAAATCACATAAATGACGTGGGTCGTTTCTAATCAGAAAAGGAACAGTGTGACCTTTGCTCTCATTATGTATTACAATAACGGTACGATGAGCATACGAACCGATTAGACAGTAACAAACGAACATTGACTTTACTTTCTCTATTGTTTATTTTTGCTGCAATTTAGAGAAGTAAAAGAAACGTATAATAACGGCTGTTTCAAAAACAGCCGGATCCATGTTCTTGAGCCACTCATCGAGTTTGACAATCAAGTGGCATTCACTCCCAAAAAGGATCTATATAAGCAGATTTTTGCGGACTACAACAACAACAAAAAAGAAAGTACCAATTATCTCTTCTCTCTCTGACCAGCATTCTTTTATTCACATTAGGGTCTGCGTTTCTTATGTGTCGGCCCGATATTCGTTATTATAGTAACTAAAAACTTTGTCTTTAAATTATGTAAATGATGAAGGAATTTTCCAATCCGAACCATTGAAATCAGTTGTTTGTTCACCTGAAACAACTAGTGCTCCAGCGCGGTATTATAATGGACCTATTTTAAGGACGGCATGCGTTTTGTCGTGAGGAACGCTGCCACTGGTGTCTAGCATATAATATCTGCTATATCTTTATACAATTATTTTTAAAATTATTTAAGTTACTGAAATATTTTTATTTTTTAAATTTTTTTAAACAATTCATTTCTCTGTAATATTGTTTCAATATTATTTCTGGATTTTGTGACTCCGTCACATAATTAAAGTTCATTAGCAATAAAGTTGCTACTCAAGCGTTTATCTGTTCACGTATTTATGTTCATTTATAATAGAAAAATGTTTCCATAATTGCCTCGCTTCCCAAGTCGCCCTGTACTGCGCTGTAATATTTTTAAATAGATTTTTCTTTAATTAAGCTTTTCTCCATTAAATAAACTCAAAAAAAAAAAAAGTCGAAGAACGGAAAGAAAAAAAACTAGTACAACGAAACTAAATTAAATTGATAAGAATAATGTTAGTGCCCGCACAAATTCTCCAGCAATGAGGCTGACCCAGTTTTTGTTATACTCCAGTACGCAGACCGACCGACTGTGTTCCATAAGAAGAGAAATGAAATTGTGAAACTTTTTGTTTGGTTAAATGGTTTGATAACCTTGACTTTAGTGTTATCAGGAAGGAAAAATGTACACAAAACGAAATAATCAACAAATGAAATAGTTCAGATAGAGTTCACTATTATTACGAGTACTACACTCAGATATTTTTCTCTTAGATTTGATTTTTTTAGTTCATTGCTTCAAAGTTTAATGCACGATGAAGTGATTTTCAATACGGAACTCAAAGGGTACAAGTACCTAAGTCGGTAAACATAGGCGAAGTTGTGTCGTCCGAACTGATAACAATGAATAAACAATTACAGGGAAGAACTGTTTTGTCGCACAAGTGAATTCGTGTTAATACAATTTCTTGGAAAAACTAACATCAGTCAGCATTTATTAAAATAATTAACAATAATTTATTAACAACATTTTTATTGCTTTTCAATTTCCAGATATACTAAATGTGTTTTTATTTAAAGTTTTTAAACGTAAACTGCCTATATATAAACTGATTTAATTTAATTTTTTATATTTGAATTATAAATTAAAAATCATAAACAACTCAGTTACTAAGCAATGCAACCAAGTTGCTGCAACAATGTTGAAGAAACATTTTAAATGCAACATTTATCTCAACCACACAGCATAGAATCAACAAAAAGATTTGTTCAAACAATTAATCTTTATCATAATTTTTATTTGCTGAAGTTTGTTTTAAATAAACTAAAAGTAAACAACAAATATAAACAATTTGTAACAAAAGTAACAAAAAAAAAAAAAGCAAACAAAAATAAATATTAGCAAGACAATATTGGCGAAGACAAACAAATAAATAGCAGCATTATTAAAAAAAAAGTAGCATGGTGCGTTTGAATGCGGCTGCAACACAAGACCAAAACAAACCACAAGTACAGCACGCACACCACAACAACAATAGCAGCAATAATACCAACAACAATAACAACACAGATAGCCAACAACAGCAACAGTACAACAATACCAGCAACAATAGCAACAACAATAGTAATTCAAGCAACAATGTTGCTACAATCGCTGCAACATCAACCACAACAACAGCAACAACACGTCATATTGCATCGCATTCGAATTTAAGCTGTCAGGCTGCAGTGTTCGAGCGTCCCACTAGTAACGCTACAGCACTTCAGACAAACTCATTGGTAACCACTACCACAACGCTGGCAACAACAGGCGGTGGTATCGTTATGGTTGTGCCGCAGCAGCAGCAGCAAATGCAGCTGCAGCTGCTGCAACAACAACAACAGCAGCCACCAAATCCAACACAACATCAACACACACAACAGGCACAATATGCACATCCGCATGCGCATACCATTGTACACACAGTGGCAGCACACCACGTGCCACATCATGTGCCACAACCACCGCCACAAGCCAATGCTGCTGGCGTCATACATCAGCAACAGCTGTCTGGAACTGATAACTCAGCTAATTCGCTAACAGCATCACCTCCACTGTTGCAACAAGCACCACAACCACAACAGGGTGCTGCACAAATTGTGCCAACCCCAGTGTGCGCAGTACATCATCCGCAACAGCATCAACAGCAACAATTGGCTATAGTTGCTGCAATGCAACAGCAAGCTGCTGCACATATGGTGGCGACTGGTGGTGCTATGGGTCCACCACCGCCACCACCACATATACATCATGCACACCATGGTCCACAAATGCAGCCAAATCCAGCCAATGTTGGCACAACACAACAACAACAACAACAACAACAGCAGCAGCAACAACAACAACAACAGCAGCAACAATCTCAACATTCCCAATCACAACATGTACAAGAGAATGGTCTTGTGCATGCCGGTCCAGGTGTTTCACCAAGCGGTTCCACTAGCAGCAGCATTGGCAGTAGTGCTGGCAGTTGTGTTAGTGGTGGTGGACCAGTTGTTGCTGCCGCACCGCCACAACCACCACCACCACCAGGTCCAGTTTATATACAATATCCTGGTGAATTTTTTCCAGCTGAATACTATATTCCGCATCCGCATGAGGGCATATGCCCACAACATCCGCACCATCATCAACAACTGTGTGCCATGCCCACGGATTATGGTAAGTGATGAATAAGGTTTTATTTCATTATTACTTTCTCTTATAAATCGTGAATATCCGTGATGTATAAAAAGTATTTTTGGTGAAAGGATTTATACATTTCTAAATATTATACATATATTATATATTTCAAAAGTGATATCTTTATAGCATATATAGTAAAAACTCTCTTGAGCTGACATGGACCGCCACCCAAATTTTGTTTATAGAGGAATGTTATCTAAACAGGAAAGATAAAGTTGTAATAATTAGTGACAATAAAAAATGTGGTTGTATACAAACTATATCACCAATAATATAGATCCAGTGTAATTATCTAGTAATACATCTATTCCACATTCGATTAGTATTTATCATCTATTAACATTTAGATGATTGAACAATAAATCTGTCGATGCAGTTTCAAAATGATACTAGCTAAGAAAAAAAATTGTTTTGGTTGACTTTGACTTACCGTATGAAGGTAGTAATCGACATATATACGAGTATTTCTCCTTTCTTCCAAAACTTCTTAAGAATAACATTTTATGTGTCCCCAGATGAATCAATCATTTAAATCATGTTTTAAACCGAATTGGTTGTGTATATCTTTGATTGCTCCTTTAGTGTAATTCGGAAAGTGTATTCTTTATATATGTCACTATTTTAGAGAATTTTGTATTGAGGCTTGTTCCAAAACTATACTCTTTTAGGTATCGGAATTTCTAACCAAGACTTTCATTTATAAGAGCTCTCACTTCTTTCGTCAGCATCAATGACTTGATAAGGATGCTTAGGTTCATTTTCATCATTATTACAAACACAATAAATACTTAACTTCATAATAATTTCAATTCCCGATAACTGGACTTTTGAAGTACACTTTATTACTGGTAAGCTCTTCTTAGGAAATAAAAAATACCTGTAATTCGTATCAAAAAAATACTTTATTATAATAAGGAAACAAATAGATTTAAGGTCTATGGTTGTGAGTTTGGAAAAATACTTCAGAAATAGGCTGAAGCCGAACTATAAAACCGAACTAATCATCAAAATAAAACAAATAGATTTAACGTCTGTGTTTGTAATATAGAAGAAGTACTGCAGGAAGAAGCTGGTGCCTGACTGTAACAGAGTAGGTAAGCTATATTTTCTTCTTCTCCTTTGAGTCATATCCATTACAGTAGTTAATTAAACGAACCCTTTGCTGATCCATAAGGCAGTATCCAGTAAAAACATTCATTGTGCTTTATAGTAAGTGTTAAGCAAGACCAATTAACTGTACTAATCTTTTGTGATTAAAAGTGGGTCATGTCAGACCTGTAATTTGTCATTGATGCTCTTTGTGCCACCTCTGGTTCGTTATTTCAAAGAAAATTTAATTGGAATTCGTTGAAATCTTCTAAAAACTTTTATTAAGAATTGATTTAAATTAAGAAATAAAATATTTTACTTCTATATAAAATTGTAGTCTATTTGCCTTATTCCCTTTCATCATGTTTAACATACTGAAGTATATTAATTTATATATATCTCATTTACCATTATGTACCAGTCCAAAATTTTGTCAGTACCCTTAAACAAAAACAACTTATTCCTTTATGTTTTTTTCTATTCATAAGTAAATCATTTTGCTTTTCTTTTTATTGTTGAAATTTTCATACCTGAAAAACTTTTGAATATTTAAAATATTAGAGACCCTCCATACTATATTATCTATACCACCTACCCCAATACCCTTCTTCTGTCATTGCTCTTAACATATTTTTATAAATGTAGTAGCACTAATAAACTTTGATTTTTTCTCTTAACTTCTACCACCTCTGCAGTAAGACTTGTTTATGGAAATTTTTTTCCTAACTATCCTTTCCATGTATCCTTTTAACCTTTAATTTTTATGTAAATTATTATGCGTAAGGATTACAAATTCACAAACTTTAGGTTTTCGTACCCTCTGCACCGATATTATTTTATTTAATAATTCCTCCTCAAACTTTTTTAACAAGGATATTTTTTTTTATGATTACATATAATACAACGAAAAAAAAAATAATATTTATATAAGCATAAGTATATTAGAAATAATATAGAAATAGATGGAGTCAAATTTGATGAAGCCAATTACCAAAGTTTTACTTCAATGGATTTTTTTCTGTTGCAATCTGTATCTAAACTTTGATTAGTCCAAATAACTTTGTAGTTTAAACTTTTTTAACCCAAAAAAACTTTTTCGAACAATTTTCTGTCGAAATGAATCTTTTTCACAGAAATAATTTTTAATTATCTTTTCTGAAATTTTGTCATATTTTTTAGGTTTTTTTTTTTTTTTTTTAATAAAAATGCAACACTTTCCAACACTTCTAAATGACATGTGTGCGTCAGGACATGGCAAGTTAGCGCAAGGCAAACTCTGGCAAAACTCGTAATCCTTTTATGTATGTCGGTTTGTGTTACTACTAATTATGATATTATTCAATCAAAAGTTGTTGGAAACTTTTATAAATGAATTTGTTATATTTTTGTTTATGGAAAAATATTCCACCACACTTTTTTGTACTAAACTGTGAAGGACTTCAACAAACCGCTTTGATTTTCTCTTCTCCTCTCATGTGAAAATTTAATATAAATTTCTAAAAAATAATTTTCTTAACGAATATATTATATATCCATAATATCAATTTTTTTCCGAAAGTGACTCATCTTATGTCGACAAAAATATAATTTAAAATTTAGAAGGTTTTGAATAGAAATGAAAAGACAGCAACCAAAATTTTAGTTAATTTATTGAAGTTTGACTAACCGCACAACGAATTTTTCAATTAGTTTATAGTTCATATAATATTTGTGTGGACTTCTATTATTTTTATATTTAATATATACTAATGCAATGGTACAATGAAAACTATATTAAATGGATGTTATCATTAAAGGAAATCTCCTTTAAAACGTAAAATGACGCTAGGTTTTCACTTTTTTTTCAAAAATAATGTTCCTTTAAGTTTTATAAGCAGATCATTCAATTGGCCGTATGAAATTACTGATCTGATCGTTCACCTCTCTGGTGAAGACTAATAGTTATACGATTATTTTATTAAGTATATTCTAATTTGGTTACATATAATATATTTTGGTTTCTCAATGGCATGTGCCTCAGCTAGGCCTCCCCTGTAGAATCATGTCTCTAGTACATGTCTGCATCCGCTTGAGAGAAAGACATCAGAACATCAATTGTGTCTATGCCCCGACTTGTATAAAACTAGGCTTAAGCTTTTAAGTGTCCCCTTCCTTAACACTCTCGACGATATTTCCAGCATTAGCATTGAGCAGATACTCGCATATATCAATGTTTTCGTTGGATTCTCACATAATCATTTTTGTACCTACTATTTCTAGGAATTGTAGAATCAAAACGGTTTTCTTAGCTATTTGAAGATGATATGTTACTATCTTCACTTTACCTAATCTAACCTATCAAAGATAAAATTTTGATTGTTAAAAAATATCTGTCAGTTTAAATTTCATACATATTTTTATGATTATAAAAATAAGATACCTCTGGTGGAGACAAGTACAAAACCATATTCAAAAGCATAGCTTCAATTGCTACCAGTAGAATTCTTTGGAACTCCAATGGAATCTTTATCGGCCCATTATACCATTAAGTGTTTTAAGAGCAGCATGGTGTTAAGCAATTATGGCAGTTAATGACGTCAATGCTTTCTTCACCTTTTTTTTTAAATATTCTCACTAATCGTGCACCGAAAGCCTTTTACTTTAATCTCAACATGAGTTCAGCAGAAGTTTCATTATGCAAACAAAACTTAAAGCCACTACTTTGCGAAACCAAATCCGGCATTATAAAAATGGCTACTTTGACTTCCTATAGTCAAGAAAATATGTTTGTTGTATAATTAAAGCATTTGTATTAGATTTAATATACGATTTTTAATATTTGTTGTACAAATCACGCCATCGATTTTAATCGTTCTTCTTGAAGCAATCTCCAGTCTGCCACATTGTTAAAAATTCCGTGGATACCTTGGCAATGCTGTAAAAGAAAAATCTTCGTATGCTTTTCAAAATGTGTGATTAAATCAAACATATTTACGCCTTTTTGCAACAATTCTATATATTGCTTATCTGATGTACAACTCATCAAAGGTCTTCGTTACTTACAATCCTGAGGCACCATATTTTACAAATATTGCTCAGACATCTGTTGACAAAAGACTGTAATCAATCACTTTTACTGAACAAACTTTTCCTTCAAATATGACCAGCTCTACTTGTTTTAAACCAAGCCTTATGTTTCGATACCCAATTTTTAATTTAGTACCCACCGCAGATTTAAGGCTCTAAATCCAATCCAAAGGAATTTTGAAGGAAACAAAATTGTGAGTAGATTTAAAATTCAATTTAATTTAATTAAAGCGCAAAATGTTCCACCATTGAAAAAAGAGAAACATTAAAAGCCTAAACGAGAAAAAAAAGAAATTGTAGGGAAAAGCAGGAGAAGGTATGAGCAGAAGTTGCAGAAACTCATTAAAGGCCACTAACGGCTGTGAAAATCCCTAAATGTTTTGGCAGCAAGTAAGACGCGAAGCACATTTTGGGCTTTGAAAAATAAATTAAAAGCGCTAAAACAAGTCAAAACGCCTACGGCTTGATTGCGTCAATGAATCTACCATAAATCTTAACTAATGAATTAAGTAAAATGTTATTTGTGGAAGCGCCGACGACAATCGCAAAGCGAAAAGCGGAAAGCGGTACGCGGTACTCGGCATTAGTCGCTTACCAACAAAAGAAGATACGCTTGTTCACCAGGTAAGGTAGGGAGTCGTCACATTCGCAAAACGTTTGACATAATTTTCCGCACAGGAACACAAATGCAAATACTAGCAACATATAAAAATCCTCTACACAACTCCCATCCCAGCCCATCCGCAGTCACTCGTAACCTTAAACTTTCGGTTCTTTCCAATTTTTACCCCACAAAATTTAAATTCTCATGCGAACCGAGA